GTTCTACTTCGCCTGTGGGCTGTAGATGAGTGCCAGCTGGTGGCCACGACAGTTGTTCGAATTATTCAGCCCACCGGTCGAGGCGTTATTCTTTATTCGAGGTGGTCGTTCGATTCTGATGTTTGATGGTTTCGCTCACAGGTGGTTTCCGGGGGCCAGTCGCACGGATCAACTGAAATAATTTCCGGACATTACCGGCTTTCTGGGCCTCTTCCATTTCTTTGGCTTTCTGTGTCCACCATACTTCACGGTCGGCTCGCACGCTCACTTTCACTTGACATCTGATATTTCGCACCGAGTTGTCTTCGAGACCGGCTGGGATGTTTCTCGGGGATTTAAGCAATACTACCGTTCGTTCTGATATCCGGTGCTTGCATGCGCTTGGTGGTGCCGTGCCACAAGCAAAATTCCCAGCATTATGCAAAGAGGTGGCAGTCTCGTCCCATTATGCGTTCACAGCTGATGGTGAAGCATTTGAAAGAGACCATAGAAGAGGATTCTGGTAGATTCGTCTAACACCCGGATCTGCCAATCTCTCAGTTGCCAAGCGATATGTCCGCACCTTAAGCGGTCCAGGGAAACGTAGAGAGAGGCGACTCTGGACGAGTGCTTCTCCCTCAAGTTGTTCCCCAGAAGGAACGGCAGTCATGAATCGTGGTTCTCTATCGGTGGTCATGTGGTCCAATTTATTGGCGGGTACAGAGTGTTATCGTTTATGTTGAACATTTATGTTGGTTGGAGATAGTTGGCAGTCAGTGCAAAGCTGGAGGTATTGCTGTCCGTTTCTCGTGAGGTGAGCATTGACGCCGAATCGATCACCCAGATGTAATTCCAAAGGGCTCAGACGACTGACCTTGGTGCTCACATCACTAGCAATGAGGACTACATCACTGCCTTGCGTTCGACGATTGAGTCCGGATAAGTTGCGGTAAGAATTATCCTCCTTATCACAACTGCGTAGGTTTTTATGTTGAGTGGCGCTAAACTTGATTGAACTGGATAACGAGAGGGCGCACAGACGACTGTTCACTAGAACCCAGTTCAGCACAGCACTTCTCTGATTTAGACAGGGGCAGAAATCCGCCGATGATTAAGCTCAAATGTGAAGACTTGAACACATAAGGCTAGGCTTTATCCATAGTGGATCCACAGTGACTCTCAAGTGGAACGTTATTCAGAGGAGAAATAAAAATTAGGATTTATACAACCAGGAAACTAAAGTTCCCCGCAGGATTCCAAGGCCGCCACAAATAAGTCGAATCTCTTGACCTTGGAATGATCCACCTCTGCAAAGGTTGCAGTTAGCACAGCTGAGGCAACGTTGTGTTTGTTTCTTATTTTCGTAAGACGTTTCGTCATCCCCAAAACTGTACCAATACAGTACCACTGTCTGGGCGGTCGTTTATCTAACTTGAACCGCTTCCTGGCTGAAACGAAGCTACACTGGCAAAAGATCTGCCATTGTTGGAACCACTGTAGCGAGTGTTTACCTCGGCAGTGTCTAAAAAATAGTCGCTCAGCTGTAGCACCCTTTCGGTGCCTAACTGCCATGCCACCCGAGGGAGGCATGAAGGCTGGGATACTGCCATGTTGCCCCAGCCTAGACAGGGGAAGTCGAGTGGCAGATGTCGGGTTCGAATCACGGACGGTCACCCTGCATGGTGTGCCGTAAGTATCTCTGTCACTCCAGCAACAGAGGTTTTACAGTCGGTACCGAACCAACTGTTCAGGTTTCCATAGTAAGCGCTGAACTTCATCGCTCATATAAACATTTGGAGAAACTACAGTGTAGCCATGGACACAGGTTGAAATGGACTGGAATATATTGTAATAAATACTCGTTCGACTTTAGCATGTTTTCGGTGCTTAGGTGCTACGCAGCCCGCAGGAGTTACAAGATGGACGGTACTACCAGATTGTTTTTTTTTTGGCGTAGACGGAAGCAACCGGGAAGCCAGAGTCGGTTTGGAGCCATGACCATACGGATCAATAGCTTCGTGCCTTAGCCATAGCTATACCGAGCCCCAGTGTGCTGAGATGTTTGCCAATGCTTGGCGCCAAGACTTGGACGCTTCTCCGACGCCATAGTGGAACGCTTGACAGGTTTCATCTACACTGCTAGCGTAATATCCTTTCGTTTTTATTATACAGAACCCTGAACAAAGTCTCCAAGACGAGACAGGCTCAACTGAACTGAGTGTACCCAAGTACCCGTAGTACGAACAGCTAAAAACCGAATTTCTAAACAATGATAATAATTAATGATCGTTCAGCTGTAACACCCTTTCCGTTCTTAGCTGCCACCCGAAGGTTGCACAAGGGCTGGGATACTGCCAGATTGCCCAAACCTAGACAGGGGAAGTCGAGGGGCAGAGGTTGGATTCGAACCACAGATCTTCCGGTCAGCAAATTCGCGCTCTAACCGCTTGGGCCATCTTGCCCACGAACAACCAATAAACAACTCACTTATGATCAGTGGATGAATGGAACACCAACACAAGGACGGCTACTGCGATAGCAATTTTGGTTTCAGATCTCTGCCATACCTAACACTTGATAAAGCATTTTGGGGAGTTGTCATCTGCACAGGCTTGAAGGCTTTTGTTGCTCAAAGTCAAATTCAGACGCCAGCGGAATTCCTCCAAAAAGCCGAACTCGGTTGAGTGCAGCCACTAAGGATCTGTGTAGTATGTTGGAGCACACGCTTGAGTCGGATCAGACCCGTCGGTCATCAGTGTAATCACTCTGGATAGCCACTTAGTTGCCTACATTTGCTCTTATTTTTACCCAACGCCTGTTGATTCTCATTTTGCGAGCCGATGGTCCCAGTAGCCAACCGACTTCTGTCTTACAATTGCCATATGTGTTTGGCACTCCTCAGAAAGCTTCGTCCTGGTAATTGCTTTGGGGGTACTGTGGTGCTGCGGTGCTCATTATGCAGTCAAGCTTAGGCCGGTTGTTAGTCTCTGCTTGTCTCTCTTCTGATCTTATTCCATTGCGTTTACATTAGTGCCAGCGGTTTGCTTGTGGTATCGCGTTCGACTCCAATGAGACCTGTCTGATACGATTCGTCGGGTATGAAGCACTGATGTCGTCCTTGGGGGCTATGTGGACACCCAAGTCAGTCGTTTCGTGTTACCTCTCGACAATTAAAAAAATCGTTCGGCTGTAGCACCCTTTCGGTGCCTGAGGGCTGGGATGCTGCCAGGTTGCCCAAGCCGCGAAAGGGGAAGTCGAGAAGCAGAGGTCGGGTTCGAGCCACGGACCTTCCGGGCGGTAAATTCGCGCTCTAACTACTTGGACCATCTCGCCTCTACGTACGTTGGCCCCAGATGCCGGGTAAAGAGACTAATGGGGCGGCAGCCATGTGTTGGAGACGGCATTTCAGCCATTTCATTGACTTTCAGTTGTTCCGTTTGTTTGATAGGGCAGAGAATGAGAGATATGTGCAGCGAAGGCAATGGATGTGATGCGCGGTTGACATTCAGACATTTCCGTGTATGTTAGGGTCACTAACCATTTGTTTGTATCGTCCTGGGATCCTCATCCTCATCAGAGACAGCAACATCAGGGTTAATAATGGTTCTTCGCCGCTGGGTTTTCTGGTAAAGGCTTCTACAATTGTCATTGTCTAACGGCTTTTGGGGCGTCTCTACTCAGTTCAGGGTTGAACAGTAAGCGCTTTGCAAGGCATGTTGTTGTTTGACTTGTGAATCAGGTTTTTGAACTAGCATTGTTACGGAGGGTAAGTAGCTTCCACAAGTCATCCGAGCATCTCAGCTTTGCTGGTTCTACTTTCACACTTTCTAGAGAATATATTCAACGCAACGATAATCAAACGGCAAAATCTCAAGTGCTTCAACCCCAGTTGCCACTTACGTTCGCAGTAGTTACTCTGATCTTTGACTCAGTGTTCCGTCTACTATGATATATCGAAAACGCGGTAGCTTGGAACTGTTACGGGTCAGCAAACAAAAATTCTAGCATCGTATTTTCGGAACAGTCGCAGGAGTATCCGCAAGGTTACGCTGGAATCACCGTGATCAGACGAGAGGCTCCGAGCTAAAACACGCTCAGTTATGATTGGCCCTTCCCCCGACCACTCAGGGTGTTCCCTCTGTTTCACTGCCAATCGATTTGGTGTCCAATTTACCTGAGTGATACGCCGTCTTACACTTCCCTCCTCCATAACGAAACTGCGCAAACCAAAGCGTCTTTATCCTGCCGTCAGCAGACTTCTCATGTCCGAGGGCACCATAGTTCCTAATTTCTTCCTGGACTCCCCTATTCGTGAGGTTTTGTTTTTAGGAGATAGTAGAGGGGCTCGAGTGCCTTTTTCGCCCATCTAGGTGTCTTTTTGTCCCAGTGGCTTCGCGGTTGACGAAAACAAGTCGGATAAAGCCCGGAGTTAAAACCAAGTATCACGCGAGTTACCAACTGAGACGGTAGTTCTGCCCCATCCTTGGCTATTTTCTAGACTTGTACAGCCTCGTGCCCCCTTTAGTTTGCATTACAACTGTGCATCGAAAGGTGTCGCAAGGCTCGAAGGTTACAGGCAGGTCGATTTCGCCCTCTTGTTCACTACGCTTCTCCCTTTTCCCTGATATTGAGCCACCTTTATCGATGTCTCGAATCGCAGCAGTACAAACTTGGGAATCCTAGGCGATGGCTTACAGACTGATCCAATATATATCCCTTAAACCTACGCCCGTTACCTGGTCGAAAACCGGTTCTTCGGTGTCGGTCTTGATTGTGATAAGCTATATTTGTTTTGGGTCATCTCTTCATCATGACTAACTGGTGCTGGGTGACATTGGAAGAGCTTGTTTCGTCAGTCCTTCGGAGCTCCTTTCTGCTGTGACTTACAAGAATAAGTAGATTTATGCATTTGTGACGTTCTTTGTATGGAATTGAAGGCTATCTCTAGGTTATCAGCAGCACAAGTTGCGTGACCCGATCAAGACGATTTTTCTCTCAACGCACTTTATCTTTTCTTTCAGGAGTTACTGCTGCATTGACTCTGTTGTCCAACTGATTTGTCACTCTCTTCTGCCGTTTCCAAGTAGTGAGCGGTGATGGGTGCTCTATTCTCAAAATTGTTTGGCAAGAAGGAGATTCGTGTATTAATGCTGGGTTTGGATGCCGCAGGCAAAACAAGTAGGTGTGTATGTGAACGACTAACTTCACATGACTAGCTATTCTCTACCGGCTCAAACTTGGTCATGGCGTGACCACAATCCCAACCGTTGGGTTTAATGTGGAGACAGTGGTCTACAAAAATGTCCGATTTAACGTCTGGGTATGTGTGTGATATGTACGGTACTGGATTTCGACCATGTCTTTTTCACAGGATGTTGGTGGGCAAGAGAAAATTCGACCGTTATGGCGTCACTACTACATGGGCAGTCAGGGGCTGATATTTGTCGTGGACAGTGCTGATCGTGACCGGATTGAAGAGGCCAAACAAGAACTGCACCGGATCGCGAATGATCGAGAAATGCAAGATGCTGTTATCCTAGTCCTAGCTAACAAGCAGGACCTTCCCGATGGTATGTCTTTGCTTTCGTGTTTATCTGCCTGCTTATTGCCCTCGGGTCAAATCCCTCTTTTGAACTTTACCCATGTATTTTGAATAAATGACAATGGATACTTTCAGTTTACGCCGATTTTTTAGGGATCAAAAGGGACTTTTGAAATATTCAATCGATGGGTATCTCGACCAAGAAATTTAGTACTCTGTAAGCACTCGTAGGTTCGAAACCACCGCTTCAACTTCCGTGTGTCGCTTTAGAGGATCTGCTACGGATTGTTTACACAGCATATTTTTATTTTCAATGCTTCTGACGATAGGCGGCATGGGCTAGACGTTCAGGTATGACCGATAGAAACATCACTTAGCTGCCTGTAATTTGACCGGACGTGCTTAAGTTCTGCACATTCTTCTAGCGACCACTGCCGCTAGGTTTATAATTGTGACGAGTACCATTTCGTTTAGCTTGCACTGCTGCGTCCTCGGTGCCCTTTGGTTTTTTATTATGACTCCCTCAACTGTATATGCCCCTTTCTATGAAAAAATCGCTCAGTTGTAACACCCTTTCGGTGCCTAGCTGCCATGCCACCCGAGGGAAGCATGAGGAACGGGATACTGGTAGGTTGTCTAAGCCTAGACAGGAGAAGTCGAGATGCAGAGAGTGAGTTTGAACCACGGGCCTTCTGGTCAGTAAATTTGCGCTATAACAACTGAGTTGTCTCGCCCCACTTTTCTGTGATCAGATAGCATTAATGTCTAAGGACATCTGACAAACGTAATAGGAGACATCCCAATCTTCAAAATTCACAAGTTTTGCACGAATATTTGATAGTCACCAGGAACAGCAGAGCAGCAAACAAATCTCTTCAGTTTACAGTGGTTGATATATGTACCACACGTGCCTAAATACCGTTTATCGAAGAAATTGCCCTAATCCTCGCTGATGAGGACGGGACCTGACTTAAAGACGATCGCGATCAAGCTGGATATTGTGAGGTCTTTGGGCATCCGGGTGGTAATCATGCCACCACTTCCTAGAAGGACCGCTTAGCTAAACCTGGTGTGTCGTTGTGCGCTGGGCTCGTGTTGGGTATGTCTCAAAAAGGATTCTGAGCCAAGTCCGCTGGTTGCCTCTAATTCCGACATGTCTGAAGGTGTACATGCCTCATCCTGGCTTTTTTTTATAAGGATACGTTTTTTCAGTGAGTTCTCACCCCTCCCTTCTTCCTACTCCTGAGTAGGAAATTACTTCCTAATGAAGCGCTGGCGCGTTGTTGGTGAAGATCCCGATGTTGATGTTTTTCGCGAACTTGATGTGACTTTGCTGCTGAGTTTTTTTTTAGGTCTTGTATGACGGTATGAGTAATTTTATCCAACCTGAACTACATTCGATAGCAATTTGCTCTGTACGGAAGTATTATGTTTCCGTGTTGCACAATTACAGACCGCTCTTAGAAGATGCATGCCGCAATGCAGATACTCTGTCAACAAATTACGATCGATATGCTGGACTATTGCCTATCACCAAAATCCTGGACTTATGCAAAATACATATATGGTCGAATTTTATCGCACCTTTTCTCAGACAGTTCTTATGATTTAGATGAAATTCACGCATAGCTAATCGCTTTTGTTTTTTTCCTTTTATTCTTGTCAATTACCGTGTGTGGATCATGTGACTTGTGTATTCCGCGCTTCTACTTGGCATCCACAGTGCACCCGTCTCCATCCTCTCCCCTTCCTTCGATTGCTTGTAGTTGACATCAAATGTAACTGTTTATAGAACATATCGCCAAATGGTAATTGCCGTTTGGCTATTCAAGTCGTCTTACTTTAGGAGGCCTATGTATCTCACTCAACTCAATAAATATCTCCCCCTCTTTAAATTCTCTTTAGCTATGCGACCTGAGGAGATTCAAGAACGACTCATGTTGACCACACTCCGGCGAGGACGACTGTGGTACGTGCAACCTTCAATCGCAACCACTGGTGACGGTCTGTATGAAGGGCTGGCTTGGTTAAATGCTAATTGCAGTTCCCGATGATTCACTACTACCTTCCACCACCCAGTTTCAGTGTTTACGAATCTTCACACAATCTGACCAATCTTAGACTCGTCCAACGATGTACACTTCCGGTTGATTGGCGTCCCCTCCAGTGCCAACCCCTACCAAGTGCATGCACTTTCTGTCCTTCTCTTATACCATATATCTACCACCAATTATTGCCAAATACGGTCTAACATTCATTTGTGCATAGCTCTAGCTAGGACTACAATTCGAAACTTTGCTTGTGTGGTTAACACATTATCCTCGCGTCTGTGATCTCAGCTGTCTAACGATTATTAACTGTTCCAGCAAAAAATATGATCAACGCCGGTGTCCTTGGTTCTTACTGATCTGTGCGCCAATCGTCATCGGTATTTGTCCGTGATATGCATCTCCTATCCATCCACTTCTGGGACGGTTACCGCAATTTCCTTGTCATGTTTTGAATTTGTCTAGCCTCAAACTCTGGTTTACCCTATTTCCCGGTCAATTGTACAGCTATTTATCATTCTCTCAGCGTCTTTAAAGTTCTGATTACCTTGAAACTAAAAAGCTTCTGGAGTCCCGTATGGTTTCATATTTAGTCCTAATTCTCTGCCCCACTCGAAGTTCTTTTCCAACAATGACAGCTGATTTCATGTCCCCGTTCAATGTGCGCAACATCTTCCTCTGACGGACTTGGGTCTCCTTTTACCTCGCAATTCACACCCTGTCGTCGCTTTTGCCCCTTGCTGAGGTGAACTTCGTCAATTCGCGTGCAGTTTAGTTTTTTTATTGATAGAACTCTTTTTGGCTGTTTTCGCAATGGACTTGCCGTTTTACCCCTCACACGTATGTCTGTTTGCCCATCGACCACCGAGTTATGCTCTTTCTCACTATCCACTCCTCACTGTTCCACCTTAGTCAGAGAACGGTCCTAGGCTTGTCTCCCCATCATTCATCGCTTCCCTGTTCTCCTTCTGTCCTTGCGATGTTTGGTGCTGATATGTTTGGTAAAATCAACTTGTTTTTTTCACGTTATCCATGCCACCTGCTTTGAATAACCACCCTACTTTGTGAGTTGACCGTCTTATTCCCCGTTTCGTTTCATTCGTCGCCAACAACTGTTAGTTGATACTTGGCGAAATTTGGACAAAAGCCACGTAGGAAAGTTTCGCGGTAGACAGAAACAGATTTGTGCGCCACACCGATCGTCCATTTGTTTGATATGGACAGGAAAAAACAAACTCTTGTGCGCGAACTAAGAGTAGGGTAGACATGAGCTGAATCATTTTTGTGTTCCCAGTGTTAGTGATCCTCCTCTAACTCCAAATTCCTAGTTGCACGACAAAGCCTTGGGCAGGCAACATGCTTCACTCGTGTCTACTGCAGTGTAGGATCTGAGTTGAAAGATGCTCAACTTTGAGGTGCTGTCTGATCGTTAGCCCTTCTCAGAGCCGTGATGTCGATTTCTACAGCTGATCTTCTGTTATCCTTGTGACAGTTGCTGCAGTTGGAGTTTTCGAGACCTTGTCATCCTGCACAAACTGTCTTCTTTTGTTGTCGGCATTCGGACTTTTAGGTTATCGGCGTTTAAGATGTGCGAACAGTCCACTTGGACCGTGTTTGTAGTTTTTGTCCCATTTCCTGTGGGGCTTGCGAATGTACATCAGTTATTGATCAGGATCCCCCCGTTTTCTGCGCGATAGCCTATCACCCCCCGTAGGAGTTAACTGCGAACAGCATCCGCGGCGAGTTGGCAAGGATTGATAGACTGATTGATAGACTACAGACCGTGGACCGTTTTGGCCTTCCATATGACAAAATCAGGAATAGTCAAATGACCATCGGATCCAGGCCGGTAGACCGCATAGTTTAAGGCATGCATCATTGGAAATTTCACGTGGTTTCTCAGAATGTGACAAACTTTCCTCCAACCCAAGGGATCTAGTCTACTAACAGTTTTGAAACAAAGATCGAAGTCTTTGTTCCTGTCTCGAAGCCAATGTAACGTGAACGCTTCCTCGTCGTTTCCCCAATTTAGACCTGTTTGAAACTAGGCTAGTGATCTTCGTTATAAGTAGTATGGGAAGATTGATGAAACATCCAACCGAGCATTGTTGAGCACCTCAATTAGCCATGAAACGTTTACAATACAACCAACAAGCTCGGTTGGTAAACCAACAAGAAAGACTGATCGGTATTCCCCTAGTGCTCTATGGGATTCATCTTAGAAACTTATCAGATCGGTGTAATCAGCGAATCATTGGACGGTCTTCAAATTCCTGTTTACCTCCGCCTACCACGAATAAGGAAAAATAATTCCGTTCCTTCACGACCGATCATACTGGACATTCCGGCAGCTTCCGATCTATAGATTCGGATGGGGAATACCATAAACTAGAGGTTCATTCGAAATCGGACGCTTCTCACTTTACTACCTGTTTAGTAGACTGAGTTCACGTTTGGTTTGTGTACAGTGCGCTGTATTTATACACGCTGCCTGTTTCCCACTAGCATGTTCCAATAACCGTTCAAGACGATTTGACTCGAAGACCTCAATCGGCCTTCCGTTGAAACCATCGACTTGCTGTGTTTGCAACGTCTCCCACTGTGAATCTCATCAGAATACTTTTTGTTAACCAATGAGCCCACAAGCACTTATCGAGGTCGGTTCACCAATCAGGTTCAGCCATGTGGACCACGGCATGTCGCAGTGGAATGACCTTTCAAGCGCGGACTGTGCCTCGCCGCCCATCTCTGAGTTTTATTTGTATTCTGTTATCAAACTGAAAGAAACTGAACAGCTGTGACTTACAGGGCTGAACATACTTAGCAATCTTAGAAAATTTCAGAAAACAATTAGTTGACCATCACATGTTTACTATCATCGCCCGAATTACTTGGACCTAAACACGACACCGGTCATTTAAGTTATCATGCCTGATGACCACATACTGCAGATTATCGATTCTTGGTAGCGAGTTTTCGAGTGATGACAGACCACGGGCTGTTTCATACATTCATGTGACGCAAGTTCGCTGCGGTTAATGAGTAGGCTTGAGCGCTTCCTAAATGAATCTTCGTTCTTCGCTAGCACCCCAAGAAATGTTTGGTTACAAAACCTCAAAACCGTTGCTGTATGTAACCTACATAGCACGCTTTACTGAGACCACGATTCACATGAAACTGATATCCGGTCACCTAAAACCCACAAAAGAAATGATCGCTTCATGTATGTGCGCACTTACACTGTATTGTTCTTTGTATAGGCAGCGACGGAAGACATTATTAGGGATCCGTCAGCCCACAGGTAGGTCAAAAGGCCGAAGAATTTCACTCCAAAAGCACTTTTAATAAAAAAACGGCAGAAACTCTGTCACACTAATTGCGTATCAGACATCTGGTCTTATCACGCCTGTCAGTGACTTCAGTTTTATCGATTCCGGGACTCCTGGATCGATGGTTAGCAGTTTATAACAAGCTCCACAGAGGTCAACATGGCGGGATCGTTTATTTGGTCTCGGCTTCGTGGATGTCAGTCATCATCACAGAGAGCACAACATGCTTCTTGAGAAGTGCCTTACAATCTCAATTTATTTGAATGAATTTTGCGGAATGAAAGAAACGGGATAGGAAAGTGACTTTTCTAGCTCGTTGCAAGCCTCTTGAGGTGCTTCTAGAAACCAAGGATAGAAGCTAATGGTGGGAGTGCTAGTTACATCGAGTGGCAGCCAAACAAAAAGATTATCCTGCCGGCCAAAACTTGGAGGCCGGATCGCAACGAAAATATCCAGACTTTTCTCAGTACCATTCCGCCTGTAAAAGGCTGATCACTTACTTGCCTTTGCCAGCCTAAATGGGTGTCTGTGCTCACAAAATCGTTCCAGGTCATCAGCATTGACTGAAAATACTACAGTTTTTTACGATTCATTTGACCTTCTCTTGTCGATCATTAATCCTCAATGTGGTTTCCAAGGGCACGATCTGAACGGTGCCCGATTTCTGTTGAGTCGGTCAACGAACTGGCTAGTGTGGTCACATTCTCGGTTCCTCTGATCGTCCGATAGCCCGCATCCGAGTTTCCTTTCATTTCCAAGTTGCTCTGAGTGCAAGCCAAGTACCACATCGGCTGGATAAAGCCTGTCAAATAGTGTATTCAGGAGTTTTTCACCATTTGCATATCACTTTTCGTTGTCGTTTCTTGTCGAATACAGTTGGCGGTTACACTACAATCGTTTGCGGGACAAGTTTTTATCGGCTGCGGCGCAAAAACGTCAAACCGATGCACGTCACAACCAGCTCAGCTTATGGTATCATTTATCCGTTTACTACCGCTCGAAAATTTCTTCAGGAATGTTGGTACCTGTCGTGGCCGACACTGACCGATTGCTATCACGAAAATAGCACAAACATGTATAGGCCTAACAGGCCCGAACATGCTCAATAAAAGACTTACTAAGAGCTGTCGTGTACGCTGGGTAGGTCACTTCCAGTAATTCAACTCTGCATGTGAGCTCAGAAATCTCGGATATTTTGTAAACATTGAGTGCACTGAGGAGTTGTGAACTCCAGGGGTTGTCATCGTTGCAACATTAAATAGATTTATCAAGTGGGCGGGTTCATGCATGCGGCCAAGTTGACGCCCATGTCACTCCGGTATGCAAACAAATGTCGCGCGCTTTTCTGGTCTGTGTAGGAGTGTGATTGGTTGAGCAAAACCGGAATCTCGCCCAGTTTGTCGCTTGGACCCGTCAATACAGCCCTCGTGAGTCAGATAGGTTACTCGTGAACTGTGTGCATTGGACACACAATCAGGCATCACAGATATGAGAATTAAATAGGTCTGGATCCTTTGACGGAAACCGGTTTGTTGACGTTTTTCTACCGCAATGGTTGGTCATTTTATCTTCTTATGCACCAATAAACTACTTGCAGGAACTTTTATCCAATCTATTTCGAAAATTCATCAGGCCCTCAAATTGACCAGCAGAAATACATTTCTAACACTCCAATCACGGTATAAAGTTCACTTACAGCTGTTGCATCTAGTCAGGTTTGTGACCTAACTTGAGGGATGTAGTCAATAAACGGGAGTATGGCGTGGTCTCTCTAGGTATAGGATAGCTGGTGAGTGCCCTCTTCGGGGTCTTTCTGTGTATTCGTTTGCAATGTGTGAGGCAGCCGCTTGAATTCGTCTCAAACCACAGTCGGTCGATATGGGAAAACATGAGTTTTATTACTACCTCCCCCTTTCTTCCTTTTGATTTTTCTGCCAAATATATTGCTATCCGGGTAAAAACAATGTTCTCCTTTGTCGCAGCAGAAAATCTAACGATCAAAGTGTCCAAATTCAAGCACACTTTTGAACTCACTCCCCCTCCCAGTTTTCACCGGGTTCGATGATTTGTTTACCATCTTTTGCACTTAGCAGTCACATCGTGCTGGATGTGACTTCAAATAATACCTTAGCCGGACAATAAACCACATCGAAAGCTATCAGTTAAAAACCAGAGAGATGAGATATATTACTATCGTTCCTCATTACAAGTGTACTATTGTAAATCCAGAGCCATCCGCGGGCAGTGCAGTGACTGCATGTAGCCGAGTGTCTGTCAGAGCGATAAGTCGGTCCCCATAGGTGTGTTCGCACACGGTTGACGTGTACGTGTTCGCCGAGGCACCCAAGAGCGGGACCAGTAATTTGGTGCATCCAGAGTGTCAACTTGATGAGGCTTTGAACCAGGTTCCGTTCGATAAACCTAAACTCATTCATCATCATCATCACCAAAAGTCGTCACTAAAATTACAATAAAAATTTGGCTTGGTGGCACCTTCGGTAGTTCCCCTTGGATGGCTGTCCAGTCATGTCGAGGGGATGTGCCATAACCTATCGTGAATAAGTTACGAGATGCCACTAAAGAATTGGTAAAAGTTTGCGAAAACATCCCACCAGAATCTGGCCAGTGCAAACTCACCTTGAAATTATGTGCTCTTTCGGAGCTGGGATGAAGTTTAACCGTAAAAATAAGCGAATTCTCCACGTGGCACTCAATCAAACGAACTCTT